GGGCCAAAGAGCCGCGTGTGGCTCGCGAGCCGTGGTTTGCTGACCACTGCCTTAGAGTTTAGGAGACGCTTGCCTGCGGGAAAGAAGAGGCGGAGGAGAAGACACAGGTGTGTTCCTGGGAGGGTTAGAGAGAGCTGGGACATTTGTTTTAAGGGATTTTAAAGGCTGGGTGTTTAGGGGAGGATCTTACTCATCAGCTTTAGGCTGATGCACCAAAATGAGATTTATTTTCTTAACTTCATCTTGTACTGGGCTGCATATCTGGCACTTTGGCCAAACGGGTCATGCTGTGCTGTATGTTCCTAAAACACATAGATAGGAAGGTACTGACATCAGGCCAGGCCTTGAGATATGGTCTCATGGCCCCTTCCCAGCAGGCAGGCCTTCTTTCTCAGAGGGCTCGGAAGTCTCATTCCAAATTTGGGAGACAAAGGACTGGAAAACATATAAATAAAGAGAGTTTCCTCCATATTGGGGGCCCAGAATTTGAAAGACACATTTTTCTCTGGGCCTCCACAGAATTTAATATAAAATGTAACTCCTGTAGTCTGGGCTGCAGTTCAGCCTCTGCTTCGGCAGGGTGCTGTAACTGTCGTCAGCTGGCCAGCTTAATAAAGGCTCTTAAATTTAAATTCTGAGTCGGTGGTCTATCTCGCTGAGTAAACCCATAACAATCTGTCCTTGGATGTGGTTACTGGCAAATGGCACTAATTGGATTTCTGCTGTCTTTCTCCCTGAGTAGGGTGGTTTAAGCTATTTACGCGCCAGATGGGGAAGAGAAGTGTAAGCTATTTACTTTTAAATGTGCTTGGCTTAGGGAAGATAGGGCTGACTAGGTGGCCGCTAACTGCTGTGTTTTAACTATCTGTCTTAGTTTCCCTACTCCATGTGTCCTGGGATTTTCCTAGCTTCTTACTATAACCGGGGGGAAACGCCAAAAGTTTAAAATCAGGATGGATTCTGAGGAACTGACACATAGCCTTATTCAAATTCATAAGAGCTTTAACAGGAGGGATTTATATACACAGGCAAAGCAGCTGCTTGCTCCCAGGAGTGGCCGGCCTGGAGAAAATCCACCCCCTCCCAGGACAGGGTCTCTTTTTTATAGTGGGTTAATATCAAAACCATATGGTGGATGGTCACGACCACCAGAAAGAGCAGTGCATTGCTGAGTGAGCCGATACCATCGGGCAGCGATCACACTGTATACATGCATTAATGTCCTCCTGGGGCCTGGCGGGTATCGTTGGGTAGTATTCAGCTTTCTGGGTAGTCAGCCAAACCTGAGGCTGTAGAAAGTTAAGCAGTCACAGAAGCTTAAACAGACAGCCCAGAATTTTCTAGACGCCTTTACTTCGGGAGCCACATTAAATCTCTAAAGTGAGTTCGCCTACAGCTCACTATAACAAACAGAACCTTAAAGAGGAGGTTACTGTGGAATTCCTGTGTGCACTCACTGAACAGAGGCGCAAGTCCCTCGTTGGGAGTTTTGTAGACAATGATAGGGACTTACGGACTGCTTTCTATGTGTTGGGCAGAGTTTTCAGTGCTTCATGTGGATTAACTCATTTAATTTCCAGGTAAGGACTGTTATCATCCCCTATATCAGTTGAGGACACCAAAGTACGGAAAAGCTTCAAGGATTCGCCCAAGTCCCCCAGCGAAGCAAGGGATGGCATTTGGGACACCTGGAAGTGATTTCAGAGCTTGAGCCTCCCCTAGCAACAGTGTGAAAGAAGAGTCTCTGAAACGCGCACAAAAACAGACGAAATTCTAGGGTAACGCAGAGCCAAAATTCCTGCGGGCTGAGTAAAAAACTCAATTTCAAAGTGCCTGCCTGCCAGCACGCTTTCAACCCGAACTTTCTCATTTCCCGGCCTCCCCTCCCCCTCGGACACATGCCTGACAGCCCGGGATGCCGGGGAAAGGTCGCCGTTGGGTTTGGCTCCTCCCTTCCCGCGCACTCAGCCCCTTACCCGCTGGATATCCCGGTCCTTGCTCACGCACCCCCGCACTTCAGTGGATACCCCGGGTTCTGGCTCACGCACCCCCGCACTTTAGTGGATACCCCGGGTTCTGGCTCACGCACCCCCGCACTTTAGCCCCGCGCGCAGAGCCGCCAGTCCTCGAGCTCAGTGGACCTGCCAAGAGCCATCCGCCGGCCAGCTTTGCCCTTACCCCTCCCCTCCCCTCCGGGAGGCAGGCAGTGAAGCCGCCGTCAGCTTTCCCTTTCACGGTGGCTTGGCTGCTCCCTCCAGGGGCCTCCCAGGACTCAGCTCTGAATTCAATCTGCCATTAGGCACATTCAGGACCAAACGTCTATAGTTCGGGGGGTTGGGAGGAGTTGCTTAGGCTCCCCAGCCCCCCAATCTGGGCATAAGGCTGGACTGGGATGTCTTAGCTCTTTGGTTCAATCTGAAAGCATCCTTAAAAATTTCCTATGGCCACCATTTTAGGTGAACAAACGGAGGCGAAAGTGACGTTCATGTGCAGTTAGACACGGACACCAGGGCCAGGCGAGTATTGCACATTTCCTTCAACAATTGTGAGTCAGGAATTCACTATTCCGGGATGTGGCATGAAGGGTGGGGGTGGCGTCTGGAATCCTGTTATCTCTAAGAAGTGAAACTCCTAGAAAGTCAGCCCTTCAGTCCCCCAATGAGAAAACTGGGGCTTGGGGGTGGGGTGGTGGTGATGCTCTCCGCCAATGCAGGATCCATCCTCAGATGCCCACACTCCATCCCAGGCAGGAGGAGGGCCCTTGGATTGGGGCGGTGGGGGGAATAAACTTTCTGATTCCTTCCAAAGTTTCCTGCAGCGGGAAAAGCAGTCGGACATACACGCCTGATCTTTGCCGACCGCACTGACTCACAGAAACACGGTGCGTGTTTTTTGAAACAGCTCCGACTCGGACCACTCATTGCACTCGCCGGGGGGCGGGGCCTCCGACCGGGGGGCGGAGCCGCGACCGTGCCGGCGCGCGCGCGTGTGGACGTGCGGCAGCGTGCGGGCCGAGTGCGCACGCGCGGGATCCGGGGCTGGCGTTGTGTATAAGTGAGCCGTGCGCGCGGCCTGACTCTGCGACTTGCTGCTGACTGCGCGCTCGTCTTCTGAGGGTCGTCTGAGCCGCCTCCTCGCGCTCCCGTCGGCCGACTTTCCTCCCCACTCCTGCACGACCTGCTGTTACAGCGAGCCGGCCGCTCCCGGCCCTTCCTCCTGCAGGTGAGCGGCCTCCGGACTGCCCCAGCTCCCGGCCCCCTCTCCCATCCTCGGCCTGCCTGCCGGGCCGCCGCCTCCTTACCCCGCACTGTGGCAGGGCCTTCTGGGGCTCCCCTCCTCCCTGCGCCCCCACCCGCTCCCCACTCAGCGCTCCAGCCCTGCGTTCCCCAGGAGGGGCCCTCACTAGGATGCAGGTGGCCCAGGTCCGTGCTCCCGGTGCTGGGTGAGTAGGCGTCGCTGCCATGCTCTCCCAAAGCACCCTGGCACCTCCTGCGCCACTGCCGGGGTTCTTGCCTGTTGCCCCTAAAGCCCCGAGAGGGCAGGGTTCACGTCTCCGGGGCCCCGTGTGGCCCTCGTACCTTCCAGGGTGCTTAGCAAGTTGGGGGTAATCAGGGTATTTTTTTTTACTAAGTGAACTTGATAGATTTGACTTAGAATTATTTTGACCTTCAAAAAGCTTATGATTAACTCGAACCTTAATGAGATATGAGGGAGACTTCTCAGGCAAGTTGCTTTCTCAAGGGCATGTTCCATTATTATTATTATTATTATTATTGATTGATTGATTTCTTTTAGAGAGAGGAAGGGAGAGCGATAGAGATAGAAACATCAAAGATCTGTTGCCTCCTGCACACCACCTACTGGGGGTTGAGTGGCAACCCGGGCATGCGCCCTGCCTGGGAATTGAGCCGGTGACCTCGTGGGTCATGGGTCGACCCGCAGCCACTGAGCCACACCTGCCTGGCTAGGACGTGTTCTGATAGCCCCGGTGTGGGCCTCAGGACAGCACCCGGGGTCCGACCAAACCTGGGATCAGCAACCTCGGTACATGGGTTCTGTCTTGGAAAGAATTCAGAGCCAAGAACCAAACTGTAAGAGTGTTTGATAAGTCATAGAGTGGAAGAAGTAATCCCTCGAAGAAATGAGTTTAGGAAATGAGTTACGGAGGTAAAGGAGCTTAGGAGTGAGGAAGCTAATGGTTACTGCCTGGGCAAGGAGGGAGAAGGGGAGGGGAAGGGAAAGGCCTGGGCGTGCTCCCTGGAGGGAGAGTCCACTGGGTACTCCCTACTGAGGGTTTTTAGGGTGGAGACTTTAGGGAAGTCCCAGGAGAAAATCGCAACAGAATATTCAGTAGTTTTCAAGGTGTGTCTTTTCTGGGTTGTGTTCTCCACTGATTGATTGGCAGGCACAGGGCAGAGGTGGTTCTCAATGCCGCTGGTCCTGCCGTGGAGTCACTGGTTTTGTTGCTTATCTGAGGCATAGATGTTATCTCTAGGGAGGAACGGTCTGGAGGGTCCATATATGCTAGGGGAGGAAAAGTCACCCTGGGGGCAGGTTCCACCCTACAATTGATTGTGCGTTGCTAGGCAACTGGGGCTTTCCACCCTGGTGACCTGTACCTGGCCCATCTTCCTTGCTCTGCTCATGTCTAACTGCCTACAACAGTCCTTTTCTTACAAAAGGACTCAGTTCTTCAGGAAAGTTTCTGGTCCCTGGACTGTGGCACAGGGATTGTGCATTGCACCTGGCAAGAAAGTAAAGGTTTTTACTTTCAGAAGTAAAAGTTTTAAGGAATGCTCATGAAAAGAAACTCCTGGCTCCTCAGCCATGAAGTTTGCAGTGTAAATATATTTGAGCTTCTGCTGTGGAAAAAACATCATGGGTCCCTGTATCCTGGCTGGCTGGGCTTCTCCCTTAGCTCCACGGGAAGATAGAAGGGTCAGGGCCAGATGCATGCGTATCCCAAAAGGCTCTAACTAACCTTGCCTCTCTTTCCTCAGGACCCAGAAGTCTTCCAGAAGCAGAAGGCAGCGCTACTGCTCTGCAAAAGAGTGGGATCCCTTCAGCTATGAAGCATATATTAAACCTCTATCTCTTAGGTGTGACGCTGACCCTGCTTTCCATCTTTGTTAGACTGATGGAGTCACTGGGGGGGCTTACTGGAGAACCCATCGCCTGGGAGCTCCTGGACCACCAGAGGTCAACTAGCCATCACAGAATCCCCAAGAGCCTTCCAGAACATCCATCCAGAGGGGGTGTGATAAGACCTCCCTCCACCAGCTATAACCTTGGAACACTTGGCCTAAACCTGTCCAGCCTGGTGTCCCAGTTTCCTGGGGAGGCAAGTCCAGCATCAGTGTTAGCAGAGAACTGTTACTAGGCCCTGGAAGGGCCCTTCCATCTGGATGCTTCTTGCCCTGGAAAAAGACTGTTTAATAGGCAGGTGTGAGTGGGTTGCCTATGGTTGTGGAATGGAGTGATTTCACTCTTCTCCCCAGAGTCTGCTGTGTGCTTTGTTGTCCTTGGCAGCGTGGCTCTGACCTCTTAGATGAGGGCTTGCGCTGTGACTTCAGCTGTTGGGAGATGACGGTGTTTTCAGCCCTACTTCCTAAACATCTGTGAAGAGTTCCTTTGGACTTGGGTGTCTTATGGTCAGTTTCTTTGGTGTTCAGCTTCTCTTTCGTGTGAGCTCCTCTGTGTGTGGGTAACAGTTAAAGAGGTGTGACTTACATTTTTAAGTCTTCCAACTTGGTGTGTATGTATTGGTCTGAAGGGGACAGTGGGTAAAGCCTGCTCGGGACATGGGCATTATAGCCACCATGTGGCTTAAGTGAATTTTTCTAATGAAATAAAATTGAATACATATTTCCACTGTGTGTCATGTTGATTTCTGCCCTTAAAATTAGTGGTTAGGGAAGGGTCTTAATTCATAGATCTGAGGTTTAACACCTTAAAACTTAGGAGCATGAAAGTGCTTAAAACACTTGGTTTAAAACAGGTAAATGAACCTCTGAATTTGCAGGCAGGGTCAGTTGGGTCTGTATCCATAGTTGTCTGAGCTTAAGCCAAGACTCCTTTCTCCTAAAAACAAAAAATATATATGTATATATTTTTATGATTTAAGATAGGAAGGGAGATAGAAACATCAATAATGAGAGAATCATTGATCAACTGCCTCCTACACCACCACCACCGCCCCCCCCCCACGGGATTGAGCAACCGACGGGAATCAACCTGACCAGATTCATAGGTCAACACAACTGAGCCACACCGGCTGGGCTACTCTCTTGACTCCATCTCTAAAGAAAAGAAATGGTTCCTTCCCACCCCTTCATCTTCAGTCTCTGGGGGAAAGAGGACTATCAGTCCAGAAGGCCTTGGCCTTTTTTTTTTTTCTTTAGAGGGAAGGGAGGGGAAGGGAAGGGGCAGGAGGGTAGGGCTTGGGGAGAGGCCGCTGAGAGGTGGGCCACTGGACAAGGTGGAGGGAGTAGAGCAGGAGAAGGGAGGAGGGGAAGGAGGAAAGGGAGGAATCGGGAGAGGGAGGGAGAGAGGCGCGGAGACCGCGGGGCCAGAGGAACAGAAGGCCTTGGCCTTTAAAAAAATTTTTTTTAATTGATTTTAGAGAGAGGAGGGGAGACAGAAACATCAGTTGCCTCCAGCATGACCAGGGATTGAACCCACCACCTTTCGGTGCACAGAATGACACTCTAATCAACTGAGACCACCGGCCAGGGCAGCCTTGGCTTTTTTATTCTGTACCTTGTCCACCAGAATGGCTACTCAATTCTGATTATTCAGGTAGGCTGGTAAAATAGCCATACCTCACCCTGTGGGTCCGGCTGGGTTGAGCGTCACCCCATGCACCAAAAGGCCACTGGTTCAGATTCCTGGTCAAGCCACATGCCGGGGTTTCGGGAACCCCAGTAGGGGACCTGCAGGAGACGGCTGATCAGTGTTTTATTTTTCCCCTTGTCCCCCATCGATGTTTCTATCTCTCCCTCCCTTCCTCTCTAAATCAAAAAGTTTTTAATAGCCATACCTCACAGATGATTGTTTCTGCTTTTCCAGGTCTAAGCAGTTTAGCCTGTTCTACCTATCACCCTTCCATCCCCACCCCATGTTGAAGCATGTCCACTCCTCTCCTATGGTATATAGAGGCATATCTCAAATTTTTGTGGGTTGGGTTCCAGGTTACCAATAAAGCAAATCAGATGAAATTTTTAGTTTCTCAGTGTATATGAAAGTTATGATTGCACTGTACTGTAGTAGTCTATTAAGTATAATAGCGTTATGTTTAAAAAGCAATGTATATATCTTAAAAAATACTTTAGCCTGGCTGGCATGGCTCAGTGGTTGAACGTCGACCTATGAACCAGGAGGTCACAGTTCCCGGTCAGGGCACATTCCTGGATTGTGGGCTCGATCCCCAACAGGGGGCAGGCAGGAGTCAGCAAATCAGTGTTGATCTTGATGCATTGATGTTTCTATCCCTCTCTCTAAAATAAATAAAAACATTAAAAAAAATACTTTATTGCTAAAAAATGCTAACCATTATCTGAGCCTTTAGTGAGTCAACCTTTTTGTTGGTAGAGGGTCTTGTCTAGATGTTGATAACATCTGTGAAGAAAAGAAAAAACTTCCGTGAAGTGCGATAAAATAAGGTATGCACGCTCTTATCTTGGTGTGCACGTCAATTTACATATGGTGAGTTGGATTTACTTTTGCCAAAAGGTAAAAATGGAGCATGGTGTCTTCTGCCAAACCAGTTTTGCTCCCTGAGTATTCTTAAGCTTAAGCGCCACTACCCTATAAGCCATTTATTGTACTGGGGTAGTCATTAGTGCTGTTTATCAAGTATAGTCAAACCTTGTTTCTCCAATGTCTCCAGTCTCAAGTCAGTTCTTGACCAAGTTGTTCACAGAAAAAAAAAATCTCAGTTGTAGACCAAATTTAATTTTTTACCTAACAGCCCTTTCATACTGATACCTCAGCATGACAAAAAAAACAGCATGACAAAAAGCATCTCTCAGGCAATAGACAAAGGAGATAATCCTTTTGTTGCTAGCAGAAATGGAGGATTAGCACAACTTTAAAACAAAGAGGCCATCAAGAGTACTAATGTTGCTAAGGGTGTGAAAGTGCTCACAAAACAGCAATTACAGGCAAATGAATAGGTAGGAAAACTTGTTGATTGGATAAGTGAAAAGCAGCTGGGAGGCAGGGATATATGAAAAATTTGTGTAAGGCTAGTAGGATGTGGTTCAATAAGTTTAAGGAAAAAAGTGTTTATAGGTTAAACAGTACATTAGACATGTACATAAGAAAGGTTAAAACTAAATCATTTGAGAGTCTGGAGAGGATTAATTCAATTTACATTCCTTCTAATGGGGGAAAACGATTTGGTTTTCGAACAAATCATTCTCAAACAGCCTTTAGAAATGAATTAAGTTCAAGAACTGAGGTTCCACTGTATTTCCAATTTCCAACTTTCCAGTCCCTGGTCCTTTGTGATCAGCTGGACTTATAAGATTCATCTTTAAGTGGTATAGTACATAAACATACAGTTCGGCCCTAATTGGTTTGGCTCAGTGGATAGAGCATCGGCCTTCGGACTCAAGGGTCCCAGGTTCGATTCCGGTCAAGGGCATGTACCTTGGTAGCTGATCGATGTTTCTAACTCTCTATCCCTCTCCCTTCCTCTCTGTAAAAAATCAATAAAATATATATTTTTAAAAAACAAAAACAAAACATATAGTTGGTATTTTGTCTCTGACTTCAGGCAGTTTCATGTGCCAGCAGCTGTCCTTTCTAGACATTTTCTTAACTTCAATATATTTTCTCATTCAGATGCTTCTGACTAATTTGAGGTATTTTGAACTTTTAACTGGAGAGCTCGCTATACCTTACGTCTCTTCCCCAAGCAGTTTAGTTTATTGAATGTTTCTGGGTGCCACGGCCTTATCCAGGCTTTGCTCTAAAACTGATTTCAACCCTAGCT